TTCAGTCAGGGGGATCCGACTTTTTCCCTAAGCGGGGGACACGAATTCTCTGAATTAGCTTGTTATATGCTTTGCTCCCTGAACTTACTTCATTCAAAGTGTGGTATGACCAGTATTAATTGTCCCCAGCTTGAAAAGTGGTATATAAATGATTAGTCTTTAGAAAAAAATAAATAATCTGTCCTTGATAATCTTGAAAATAAATAATCTGTCCTCGACAGGCATGAAAATAAATAATCCGTCTCAAAATAATTTGCCACCCCCCCCCTCCCCCCCCCCCTCAGGATCAAATGGTCGTCCTCTTACCAAATTTGAATTACAAAATGTAGACTTATATTCAATTTCAAATATATAATTACAATTATAGCTTGGGGTCAAAAAATTTTGGTTATTTATCAAATTATAAATTAAATTTGTATTTTGTTTCTGTAGGTCATAAATAAGCAAATTCAAAATTTGTCTGTTATAACAGTTTGGTTTCCACACGATATCTCTAGAACCATTGTTGTAGCTATTGCAATGAAATTTTACATAAAATTTTTGGAACAACTCCCTGTGGCCTCCGAATTGCAGTGTTGTAAAATATTTCGTAACGTTACTTTGCCGTGTTTCCTTATTAACTAAGATTTTGAGGTCAAAAGGTCAAAGTTCATATGGTGTTAAGTGTGTTTAATTCGTAAATTTATACATTCTGTCATGTGTGTAATACTGTCATTTCTACCTTCATTGTCTTCATTGTGAATACGATGTTTCAAGAAGATTCTTTTGCAATGTAATTTATAAGAAAACTCCGTTGTTTCTAGAAAGCCTCTCTCACTCCCTCTCAAAGTGTCCCGCCCCTTACGTTTGTTTTATTAGTATTTATATTATTACGTTTTGTCGAAATGAAAAATGAACTATTTTTAGCACAAGGGGCATTCAGACATGGAGAGTTGCAATGCGTATAAAACAGGTATTCCCAAAAATCTAACATAAAATTTATGAATTGGGCGGTTTTTATGTTCTTATTGACATTTATTAGAACTGTTTAATAAAGGCTTAATAAATCAAACACCATGGATTGTGTAAAATTTTGACAATATCCGAACATGAATATATGTTTGCACACGACGAAGAAGGAAATCGTGACATTTTAGACACTTCTGAAAGGGTACATATACTTATGACCTTATTTTATCACATTTTGACTGTGATTCCGTGGTCTAGATGTGTATGTGTCTCCCGCTTTTCACATATGTTTTCATTATGAGAGGTGTTTTCATTTTCATATTCGAGTCTCTTTATTGCTTTTTTCGAAAACAGTACAAACTAAATAAGTAGCTCAATTAAGCTAGCAACCCCCCCCAGGATGTTTTAAATTAAACTTTTTCAATTCTGTGTTTGCAAGATGATAGTATTAGAACATATTGAAACACAATGTATAAATGAATAATTTATGCAGAATTTCATATCCACAGTTATAAAATCATTATTACAGTGTGATATATATGGATTCCATATAATTTTTAGAATTTGATAATGATTACTTTATTTTATGAATTTTAATCTTCTATACACATAATAAAGAAAACTAAGCAATCAAATCTTTATACGAATGACTTACAAATAATAGACTACTTTAGGGTGTATTTTAAAAATATTTACTGCAGTATACTATATTTTAATTTCTGAAAATATGTGCAACTTGTATAAAATTTATAATTAAACCAGGGTACAATTTCAGTCATCAGTGGTTCTTGATATAAAATTCAATACCTTTAAGAAGGGGAAAGGTGTCTTTTAATAACTCTTTACTTGTAACAAAACATACGTTACCAAAGTGAAAGAAATAATAAAATCTGTTAGAAACAAATACGAAAAGAATAATGTGCTTATAGAAAATTAGCTTTTTTGTTATATGTTACTATTTCATATTCTTATAGAAAGGTTGTTAATTGCATAAAAAATAACCAATACCACATTTAGGCTATAATTACAAGGTCACATCATAAGCCTGGTTTATGGAGAAAAACCATCTCAATATTTTTGTAAATTAGAATCCCGTAATTATTTGAATAAGATTATCTTAAAACAGAGGAAAATGAAACTATTTACAATCAGTCAGAAATTTTAAATAAAATCAGGATGTATTACAAATCTCTCTATACTTCTGTAGATGCAGAACTTCTCGACATAGATCTTGCAGAAATTATAACAGTTACTGAGGTTCCAAAACTTGAAAACAATATTGCCAATACACTTGAGGGAAAAATTTTGGAAAATGAAGTCTTAGAGGTGTTAAAAAACATGAAAAACAATAAGTCACCAGGAAGTGATGGCTTTACAGCGGAATTTTTTAAATTTTTTTGCCATTTTATAGTACTTGCCATAAATGACGTATTTCAGGCCCCATTTCTCAAAGATTAGGGTTAATTACTGCTTACCAAAAGGTGATAAGCAAGAGAATTTTTGAAAAACTACCTATCACTCTTTTAAATGTGTTTTATAAACTTTTATCAGGTTGTATTAGTCAATATGGTATATAAATGGACAGATCATATCAAATACTCAACTTGGATTTTTAAAAATCTGGATAATATATAGAAAATAAATATGATCTTATGGATTACACTGAATCTAGAAATATACAGGATTGCATGACAATAAATAATCCAAAATTTTGTCTCAGTGCTTCAAAAAAAGTTTTATATCCAAAGAGGATGTCCAGCCCCCCCCCCACCTTATCTGTTTCTTCTTTGTGCAGAAATTCTTGCAATTATGATCAAACAAAATCAAAGTATTAAAGGAATTGTTATTAACAAAACAGAACATAAAATATCCCAATATGCAGATGATACCTGGCTTGCCCTTGACTTCACCAAATTTTTTGAATTACAAATTTTTTCTCATTTACAGGACTTAAAATTCAGCTCAAAATATTCAATTTCAAATATATAATTCAATTATAGTTTCATTATTAGACTTTCAATTTACTTGGAATTAATTTTTCAGTAGAACTAGATAAAATTATTGATTTAAACTACAATGTTCAAAATTTTGAATAAAAAGTTGTTTATCAAATTATAAATTAAATTTGTATTTTGTAAAATTCAAAATGTGATAAAATTAAAAGGAAAGTTATTACTGTTTTTTACAAGGAGGATTAAAAATGTTGGATATAAATAACTTTATTACAGAAAAAGATTTGGATTGACTATTGCATAAAGCTTTTGATTTTGGCAAAGTATGTGTCTTGCTTTATTGTAAAAAATAACAACATTTTTTGGAAAGATGTGTTTAATTCTTGCATAATTTAAACAATTCATATATGAAAACTAGAATTTCTGAACTTATGTGTGGTATAATCCCAATATAAAAATTGGAAACAAAATAATTTTTGTAAAGACTTGGTATGTAAATGGCGAGTGTTTGTGATTTTTTAGACATCTAAGGAAATTTTTTAAATGTAACTGATTTTGGAAATAGATTTCATTTGTCTAATATTTGCATCATGCAATATAACAGTATTATTTGTGCTATATCGTTTTTAAAAACAATTTGGAAGAGGTGTACCCCTGTTATTCCTTTTTATTTTGAAAATATTATTGTATATGAGAAGTGCACTAAAATTATTTATAGATATTTGAATAGTAACAATATCATTCCTACATCAATATTTAGATGGAACCAGGAACTATCAATGCTTTTAACACAGATATTTGTGTTCAAATGTTTTAAACAGTTTCAGAACAACTATGGAAATATTACAGTAAAGGTCCTTCATAGAATCCTTCCAGTGAAATATTATTTGAAGAAAATAAGTATTTTATCTGATGATCAAAACAGGATATAAAATATATTTTTAAATTTTTTCTTCATTATGGAAATCTTAGCATGCACATATTTACAAAAACTTCTAAAAGAGTTGGATTTAACATATGCAATATTATTTTAGGATGATAAATTTCATTATATTATATACAAAGCAATATATCTTTTCTTGTTTAAAGCAGAATAAAATACCTATGATTACTGGGCTGATACATCATTTGACTCTTAAGTACAAAGTAGAAAAATGTATATCAATTAAAAATTTTACAATGAACAATTTTGATAATCTATGGTCACAATGGATAAATATTTTTGCACTTATTTAAACACCAACTTTAAATATTTCTCGAATTTTATATATTTTATATTTCATTCTTGTTTAAATTCAGAGGGATAGTGTGAATGTGTGTGTGAATGTGATTAAAAAATTTATGTAACTTTACATGTCATTAACTAAGTTTTCTACGCGGACAAAGGTTTGATGATTTGCAGGATCTGAGATAGAAAGTGTCAAATATTATTTTACATATGAAATCTGAACAGTTTGTACACATTTGTGATGAGGGCTTAAATCGACTTTAGAAATAAAATGAGTTAAACGGTGACAGCGGTAAAATAAGAAACATGTATTAAGCTTTTGACATCGGGTAACGTCAATGGTTTTCATTTTAGTGTTCCGGGTATGAGTGTGCTTGTATTTTTTGTATCTGATAAAAAAAAAACTACTTGTACTTTGTTTTTTATTAAAGTTTACAAATATATAAATGAAACTTTAATTTATTGAAAATAATAGTTTCATATATTTTACAAATGTTTGTCACTAATTCTCAATGTTGTCCACGAACTTAACGGACAACCCTCGTATTTGACACTTGAATTTGGAGAATATTGAATGAAAAGGTTATTGTGTAACATAGACGAAAAAACAGCACTTGTTGTATTTTGTTACAAAATAATCACTTCAAGCTAATCCGAATAATGCAAACACTGTTATTTTCTTCTGATTATTAATCGAGGAAAACAATTCATTGAAATGTTTTAACTATAATTGTTCAGTAATCAATAATTTTATCACAGACGAATGACAGGGAGAAAAATCGAGATGCGCATCACTGTTGTCTTGCAATGCTTATCTGTCGTCTGCTGTAGAGTGAGAAAAGGCTGTCGTCTGCTTCAACCATTGCGCGCGCAATTGACAGAAGTCAGTGTCGTCTGTTGATCACGGAGAGACATTTTTCGCGCGGTTTTAGGAAAACGTCAGATCGATCTTGTTTGTTAAGGCATCGGAAATATACCATATCTAGCACATTCCGGACTCATCTATCAAAATACTAACTTCGTAATTCCATTTGAATAAGGTAAGTCAGTAATAATTTATTATTGATTGTTTATTAATAGTTTTTTTTTTATACTGAGGTAATTTGATAATGTTCTTTATCTTTAGAGTTAAATGAAACTTCATCCCATAAAATCCATTTGAGCAATACTAAAATCCAAAAGAAGGGGAAAATGATATAATTTCAAAACATAGATGAATTTATTCAATCATGTTCACCGTAAACATTCTTGAATCCCCTTCACATTTTTTTACATGAATTATTTATGCTTTTTACTATTCACAAAGGAGCAAAACAGAAATTGTTTGAGAAACTGGTTTGCTGTAATTTCTTTTTTTATGTGATTCATTTCACTTTTTTATTCTTTATGTAATAGCATAACCCTTTCCCTTATAATTTAGTGTGTTATAAAAATTATAATTATTTAAGCAAATCTAAATATTTTCATTTAAAAATGATATGCGTCCTTTCTTCTAGTCATTTATATTAAGTTTTCGTCCGGGATCTATGATATTTTAGTAGTGTAGATGCTCACTTCCATTGAAAGTTTAAAAACTGATGTCTTGAATTTGACAACTTAGACTAAAACCGCAGTACAGCTAGCTAGCTTAAACATGACCTATCATGTCTGAGAAAACCTTAATGTACTAATAATCGATAGAAAGTAAATGAAAAAATCTTTTTGAGGGTTGATATATGGTGACAGAACTGTCCGGGGACTCAATCTAAGTATGATGAATTATCCGAAAAGCCGCTTCAAGAACTGTGTGGTTTCAGCAGCCATTATTATACAATATTTGATTCCAAACTGGTCTATTACTAAGAAATTTGAAACATTGGGTACGGATGTACTTGTAAAACATCTGACGAAATCAAAAATATTAAGCAACTGTAAAAGCAAAAAAAAAAAAATATGAAAAATAAGTTAATATAGCGAATTGATAAATAAAAATAAACCAAACTATCGAATGTAGTTGCACAAATTTGTCCTAACAAAATGTATTGCTTAAAAAGAGGAAAGAGCGGGAGACAGAGAGAGAGGGAGAGAAAAAGTGAAAGAGACAGAGGGAGTTTTGTTAAACATATCCTTTTATCAAATACACACAGTTTATTATCATACATTAGTCTACACAAAATATGTAAAATATTAATAACCATAAATATAGTCTACTAAATCTTTATTTATAATGTGTAAAATATGGTATAAATCAATGACAGGGCATATCTTTCAACGATTATTCTACATTCTTGTCTTCATTTTTGTATACATGCTATGCAACCTTTATCAAATACACTCATTTAGAAAAGAAGAAACATGTTATTGAACTAAAATACAAATTTGAATAAAAATGAATAAACAAATTAACATGTGGCAGCAATGTCTTTTTAAACCATACCGAACAATATATACAGTTCCTCAACTCAACATCCGAACATTGATTGAATCGTCGCTTTAATAAAAATAGCAGATAAGAATTGGAAAAAAAACTATCAATTGCAAACGCTATCACTTGATTCAGGAGAAGAATAACAGAAACAAACACTCACAGATCAATATTGCATTCTAAAATACAATCACGAACGTTGCTTAACCCAATTAATGTCTAGGGAGTAATAAAGGCTCGAATTTCCTCTGTTGGAATAAGATCTATCGATAAATTGTGTCTGCATTCAACAGGAAAGTAGAAAGTATTGCGTTGTTCAAATACAAATCCCTATCTTAAAAACTGCTCCATTTATCTTTATTCAAGTAACAGAAAGGAATATTTATATCATGTTCGTTTCAATCGGTATATCATGAAAACATTACGTATACAACATGTGTTTAATTTTATAATCAATTTGTCTCAAAATAATTGTTAACCATTAGAATCAGGTGTAAAGTGAAGGCAAATTTTGTCCGAGTGTCGTTATACTTTGTCATTACAATAAAGAACGATTACAATGAACAAGTATAAAATTATTATAGTTTATTTAAACAATAAAATACTTTTCTTGACTGTTATAACGGGAAATCAATGTCGCAACTTTTGCAGAAAAAATACATCAATAAAATTTAAGTATAAGCGGGTTATGTATTTTTTCCGTTATAGCTTCAACATTATTTCTCGTACTTATGAACAAATGGACATTTTATGATTAATTTTTACATCTGTTTGAAAGAGAAAACAAAATATAAAAAGTTAAATAAAATATATGAAATATTGAAATATTGTATTATAGAGGTATATGTAATTCTATGTATAACTGATGGAACAGCCATTGTGCAAAAAATCCATGCAGCTGGCTTGCTAAGTTTTGCTTATTGACTGATTAATGACAACAACGCTCTTCATAAGAAATAAAGGAAATATATATTCAGTTTATACACTGAATATATCTTAGAAAGTTTCATTCAGGGAATTTCTCGAATGAAATGGATTTCCATAAAATGTGTATAATGAAATCAATTCTCCATTTCTCGATCAGTTTTCTGCAAGCACATCTACTTCACTATAGAGTAAATTCCCTGTCTACAAACTCCATGATAAAATAAATACAAAATCGAAATTTTACACTATTACAATGTAAAATATTTTATGTGTGCAACTTTATTAGTTTTACTGTCAATTGAGCCTAGATTGTTGATTTCCCGATGGATTAATAAAAGCTGATCAAATGCACACACAACTGCACATATTGCTGGAATGATATTCTTTCTTTCTTTCTTTTTTTTTTTTTTTTTTAAAGTAGTTTGTACATTAGATTGTAATATAAGAAGAAGGATAGAAAGAAATTAAGAAAATATAGTGGTTATTTGTTTGTCTGTTTTCATTTTGAAATCACTGCACACGAAGGATGAGGAATTTGCCAAAAAAGAAGTATTACTCAATCCTTTAGGATATGTCGCATTTCCTTTCTGGAATTGAAAAAGGAGAATGAATAAAAAAGACAAATTGAAATTTACCAAGAGCTTAGGATGAAATGATTGATTTTCATAGGAGTAGCTATTCCTTCGCAGGCCTTTTTCATTGATAATGTTACTGTGCTCATCCGGCGTAAATTATCAATTTTCTCTAATGAGAAATAGTTAAAGCTTTTTGTCAAAGGGAATTTGAAATAATGAAGCTTGCCTAAGAATAATAATGAAATGATACCTGTTACAGTTTTCCTTAAAACAGAAAGTAATTCCATACCCGTGCCACAATACAACTTGTATCATGAAAAATTTATTGAACATGATATTTTTTTTAGGTTAGTAAATGTGACAGGATGATAAGAGAGCAAATAAAAGAGAACATGCTGCTGTATTGGTCCTTATACTGGCCACACAGCTACCGCTACCTTTTGTGTCGCGAACTGTCCTTACATTGACTAAAAAGAAGCTTACTAAAACTGTATTTCCTTTTATTTTTTTTTTCACAACTTATGAAAAAGAAATTAACCATAAGCTAGTGAAATATTTATTGGTTTAATTGATTATTTTAAAAACCCAGCTAGTTATTCCTGCATTAAGCTTTGCATCACATTTTCAGTTTTTTTTTACATGTTTTCTACATGTTTTCCTCAAATAATTTATTTTCTCCACGAATAAAAATATCAAAACAAAATGTTAGTTGTAAATGAGCATTTATTGTAATGCCAAACAAATTAACCAAATATTTTCATATGACCATATTTGAATATATCCTTTATAAGGATATTAATATGCATAAGGAAAAAATACAAATTTTCTTACATGTAAGCAGTAAAATTTTCTGTTGGATTTTACACGGTTTTTTTTTTTTTTTTTTTTTTGTTTAATATAAGAATATTAATGCTTAACAAAGATATTTTGATCATACTTATTTCTTCTTTGCGCAAAGCAATACGAAAACATCTTTTGAAATTGATTTTAGTTGCAATATAGCTGAAATGTTAATGGGCAAAAATCTTACACGGAGTCATGCATTATCATATTATGCCATACGCGTGTTGATAAACAAACATTTAAGGAATTATCGTATTTTTGATGGTTGATTGATTGTATATTATTTAAAGTCCCTCTCAGGAATTTTTCACTCATATGGAGACGTCAACGTATGCCGGTGAAGGGCTTCATATGTTGAACTTTACTCGGCACTCAGTGCCATTGAGCAGTGAGGGATCTTTATTGTGCCAACGCCTGCCGCTGACACGGGGCCTCGGTTTTTAAGGTCTCATCCGAAGGATCCACAACTTTCACTTCAAAGTGCCGAGTGCATGGCGAAGGTACAGTTGCTACCAATTTTTTATCAACTTAGGTCAGTCGCGGCCGAGATACGAAGTCACGACCTCCCGATCACGGAACGAGCGCTCTTTCGACTGAGCTACCGTGAACGGTTCGTATTTTTTATGTACCCAGCTAGTTAAGAAAGTAGTATACATGTAACTCGCAAAGTGATTCTACCTAAGTGATGTTTAAAACTTGTCTAAACTATGATGTTTACTGTAATATAATAAGCGTAGAATCTGTTTCTGTACTAGTCTGACTGTAAACATATTATCGTATCTTATAATAAAGCCCTGAGAATTATCTTAAAATGAAAACTTCAATCTGTGCCCGTATGGCGCAGTGGTTACAGCGTCTGCTCTAGAATCACAAAGTAAGGAGTTGATCATTATGTCGCAGGTTTGAATCTAACTGTGGGATGTGGAGACCTGTCCTTCGTATGAGACCGTACAAACCCTGAGTGCATAGGCATAGGACAAAAGTTGTAGCTCTCTAACGGCATAGGGTGACGTCGTCTCCTTATTAGTGAAAAATTCTCGAGAAGAACGTTAAATAAGATACATTTTTAAGAAAGAAATTACGGATCTTTCATATAGGTCCAGAAAAACCGAGGTCATATGTTATGTCAGCCATAGGCACAATAAAGACATAATACTGTTCAACGGAACTTTATATGAGTAAAAATACTCGAATGGGACAAAAACAACATACAATCAATCAATCCATTGTTTTTACAAGTTAATCGGCAAGGATAATTCTTCGATAGATAACATTAGCAGGAACCAAGATG